AAAAAAAAAAAAAAAAAAAAAAAAAAAATGGGGAAAGTGGTAGGGGCCCCATGGGGTGATTCGCCCAACTTTTTCATTTCTTATTCTGTGTTTGTTGGAATAATGGCTTGTATTTATGGGCAAATAAAGCAGGATAATAATTTTCTGTTTTACTAGAAAGAAAAAAAGATTTTTCCTCACTATTTATTACATTTTGTTTATTAAAATGCCAAAGCTAAATATAGGAAGAATAATCTAAGGAAAAAGACAAAATTAGAATGGTAATCTAAGCTATGCCACAATTAATTAAACTCTACATTTATTTATTTATTTGTTGTTATTTTAATTCCAAGTCTGTGACCACTCACCACTATCTTTATATATACCAACAAATTACTTTCAATTTTGTTTATTAAAAAAAAAATGAAGATGAAGGTTTACCAACTACTACACTATCATTATTGTCCCAATAACAATCGGATACAACAAAAGCTGTTTGTGAATACTATGTTTGGTTAACAATTTAGTTGGTTCATTAGCATATTTTACCAAGCCTAATGATCGAACAAGACAATTCAATCAGTTCACTTACTGAAAGTCCTGTATAAAATGATTGCAGAGGAAGAATATGAACCCCAAGTGGAAGCCCACCTCAATTTCACAAATCATTTGTAACTTACCCTGGAAGTTCAGCCAAGCCGCAGCGGGGAAGAGGGGTCAAAAAATGGATGGCCTTTGTAACCATGATTCTTCATTTTACAAGTTCTACTCCTATTTGCCAGATCTCTCCATCTTTCTCTCCCCCTGTCAACCCCACTGAATGGGTCGAATGTGCAGTTCAATTTTTTGTCTTCATTTTTTCAGTTTACTGCATCCTTGCTTTTGCCACTGAACTAATTGTCCTTCTTATTCTGTGGCTGTCTCCCCTAGATAAACTAGTCTACGGGTTTGTAGAACAAGGGGGAGGTGTAGAGGGAGGAAAAGGAAGGTGGAAAATGTCTAGTTATGCCTTCTTGAATGACCAGCTCTCCAAGCGGACCTCCATTTTCGGTTTGCGCTTGTGGGTCGTTTTGGGAATTGGCGTTGGTGCCGCCATTGTTATTGTTCTGTTCCTCATTTCGCTATGGTTCATCTCCAGGCGCAACAGTTCCAATAAATCTAAGTCCTCTCTAAACCCCACTATCCCGAATGTGTCCAAGGAAATCCAGGAAATACGAATCGACCATTCTCGGAATCCAGCTCATTCTGATCCTCCTAAAGTTCAAGTGGCTTCGAACCCTGAGCCCTTGCCGGAGGCAGAGCCTTTAGCGACGCTGCTTCAGACGGAAGAAGGGAGCACACCTAGTGGACGCCATAGAATTCACATTGAAATTGGGAAGGACCACCGGATTTCTTATCCGGAGAGAGTCGGCGGTTCATCCCACGGTAGCGGAGAGGTTCGGTCCGGTGACCAGGCGCCGGTGGTTGTGCCGGAGGTTTCCCATTTGGGTTGGGGACATTGGTACACTCTCAGAGAGCTCGAGTATTCTACTGCTGGTTTTTCGGATGAAAATGTAATCGGTGAGGGCGGATATGGTATTGTGTACCGTGGTGTTCTGGAGGACAACACTGTGGTTGCTATAAAAAATTTGCTCAATAACAGGTTCTTCTTCTTCTTTTTCTATTTTATTTTTTTGTCACACGGATCCTGTAATTTCTTGCAGTTATGTCATAATACTACGAGCGCTGATCTTATTTTACAAGGATCCTCTACTGAATTTGATACCTTTATGTTGCTGTACTGAAAAAAACTTTATGCAATATTGCTTGTCATCAGGGGACAGGCCGAGAGAGAGTTTAAGGTTGAAGTTGAAGCAATTGGACGCGTACGGCACAAGAATCTGGTGCGTTTGCTCGGCTATTGTGCAGAAGGAGCTCACAGGTATTCTGATTTTCCTCCTAATTAATCCCTGTAGAAGCTAAGAAACTGCTTAGATAAGAAACTTTTCTAAATGTCGAACTATGAAACACACCCAAAAAGCACTCCCTGGAGGTAATTTGAGAACGTGTGTGCATTCTGCTTGTCTTGTTGTAGGATGCTTGTTTATGAGTACGTCGATAATGGAAACTTGGAACAGTGGCTTCATGGAGAAGTTGGGCCTTGTAGTCCTCTCACATGGGACATTCGAATGAATATAATTGTTGGAACAGCGAAAGGGTATGTTCTACATTGTATTTGCTATCACTATTTTGCTTCTGGATGAGTTATGTTCTACAGGTTGTTGGCATGGTTTTGACTTGATAAAATCATAGGTTAACATACCTCCATGAGGGGCTTGAGCCTAAGGTTGTTCACCGTGATATCAAGTCAAGTAACATTTTGCTTGATAAGCAGTGGAATACAAAGGTCTCTGACTTTGGCCTAGCAAAGCTTCTAGGCTCAGAGAGGAGTTATGTAACGACTCGTGTGATGGGAACTTTCGGGTTAGTCTAAGTTCTAGCGCGAAACGTATGACTTGGTTTCTAATTCTAAATTGACGATCCTGGCGGAGTAACTTATGCATTGCGATCTCGGGTTGTGTTGTAGATATGTAGCTCCAGAATATGCGAGTACTGGCATGTTAAATGAAAAAAGTGATGTATATAGTTTTGGCATCCTCATTATGGAGATAATTACAGGGAGAAATCCAGTAGATTATAGCCGCCCTTCAGGAGAGGTTTGTTTTCACTCATCCAGACACTTGGGTCTATACAGGCTCCAATTTTGACCCTTAACTTTACTTTTCAGGTCAACCTAGTTGAGTGGCTTAAAACAATGGTTAGTAATCGAAACGCAGAGGGAGTTCTGGATCCCAAGTTGCCTGAGAAGCCTTCAACAAGGGCACTGAAGCGTGCTCTGCTAGTAGCTTTACGATGTGTGGATCCTAATGTTCAGAAGAGGCCTAAAATGGGGCATGTCATTCATATGCTTGAAGCTGACGAGTTTCCTTTCCGAGATGTAAGTTGACAACATTTGTACATGATACGTGAGAATATTTAACTAGAAGACTGTGGTTTATTTGGTTCAAATATTTCAGGATCGTAGGGTGGGACGGGAAGGGGGACGATCAGTACTGAAGGAAAGGCTGATGGAAAGGCTTGTGAGTGAATCCGGAGAGAGCAGCGGATATGAAAGTGGAGCAACACAAGCAAGCCGTCATCTATGGAGAAAGCAAGAACTGGAAGAACAACAGCAACCTCGCGAACCTCGCACTTTAAGGTGATGCTGAACTTGTGTGTGTGCCTAACTCACAATGTTACAATCAGGCTACACTCTAAAATTTAAGGAATCCCAGCATTTTGTTCCTCAAATTGCTGGGAAGAAGAAGCTTCCTATAAATTGTTTCCACTGCAGTGTCTTCCCATTGTTGTATTGTACCAAACAATCTGTATAATGTTCTGAATCAATCTTTGTCTTGGGTTTTGGGTTTTGGGCTTTGGATTTCAACTTCCACACATTCTAGTGGCCATCACCTCCAAAATTAGGAACCTATAACTGTAACCACAACAACGTTTTGGTTAAATCTTAAATCCATAAAGCTCATTTAACTGAAATGGTGTAGATTAAGATGGAAAAGAGTAAAGATGAGTAGTTTTTAGGTGGAAGTTGGGTGGGTGTGATTAGAATCGAATAGGTGGTACTGAAGTTTGGTGGGTGTAATAGAATTAAACAGGGTCCTACACTGTCACGAGCATTACTGTTTTGTGGGGACTAAGTTCGTGTAAGAGAAGGAGAAACCTTTATTGTTTTTCGTTTACTGGAAGTGAGTGTCGTGTGTTTGGATTTAGAATCTTGGACCACTCCCTTCATGTTCTTCTGCTGCTATTATTTGCATAAAGTTATTACATTTCGTTTTTGCTTCTTACTTTTTGGCATTTCTCTCCAAACCCCGTGGTCTAGGTCACTGTTTTAGCCTCTCTCTCTCTCTCTCTCTATAATACACACACACACACACACACACACAAGAAAATTACCCATAATTGTATGCAAATTACACTTAAAAAGTGTAAAATGTAACATTTAAATGTATGAAATGATTGTAGGCATTTCAATCATTTTGAAAGCTAACAAATAAATGAAATAATCTATCAATATTCATTCATGTTCCTGGATATATATACATATATATATATATTACGCAAAACGACGTCGGTGATGGACTAGCAAGCAAAGACCGTTTTACTAAAATTGGACATTGACTAAAATATATGGGCTTTTGTGGTCGTGTTTGGGCCAGGGTAGAAAATGGGCCTGGATACAGTCCAAACAGTCGAATGCAGGAGCCGGTGGCTACATTGTCGGCGGCCACCAAACAGCCAGCGCAAGAGTGTGCCCTCCAGCTCTCCGCCAACCATTACGAAGCCGACGATTTACTTGAGGTGCCAGGCTTTGAGTAGATTATAATGAGTTTATTTAAATAATATCAATATCAAAATTTCAATTCTATGAGTATATCAGTATTTGTATTGTATAAATTAAATAATTAAGAAAAAAGGGGTATTTAAATTGTTTAATCTGTGCTTTTTCAAGGTAATATAATAATGGTTTGGTTTTCACATGCTATGCTCTGCACCGCAGTCTTACCACCACCGACGCAACCTAACAACAGTAAACCCAATTTCATAAAACTCAGCTCTTCTTCTACAAACAAAATATACCAAAATCCTTCCACCGGAAAGCGAAAACATCCACAATGCACGCTAAAACCGACTCCGAAGTCACCAGTAACGCCACTTCTTCTCCCACCAGATCTCCCCGCCGCCCCGCCTACTACGTTCAGAGCCCTTCCAGAGACTCTCACGATGGGGACAAGACTGCCACCTCCTTTCACTCCACTCCTGTGCTCACTAGCCCCATGGATTCTCCACCCCATTCTCGCTCCTCCCTCGGCCGCCACTCCAGAGAATCTTCCTCCACCAGATTTTCCGGATCCCTCAAACCTGGATCTAGGAAGATCTCTCCCAACGATGTCTCTCGCGCCCCCCATCGCAAGGGACAGAAGCCGTGGAACGACTGCGATGCCATCCAAGAGGAAGGTCTTCTCGAAGATGAAGATCAGGGAAAATCTCTTCCTCGTCGCTGCTATCTTCTCGCTTTCATTTTGGGATTTCTTCTTCTCTTCTCTTTCTTCGCTTTGGTTCTCTGGGGTGCTAGCAGGCCAATGAAGCCTAAGATCACTATGAAGGTACACAATCACAATCACAATCACAATCACAAACCCCACATTTTTACTGCCTTTTCTTGTGTCCTGAATTTCGGATTTAATTTCCCTTCAATTGCAGAGCATTACATTCGAGCAATTCAGAATCCAAGCCGGTTCCGATTTCACAGGCGTCGCCACTGACATGGCCTCTGTAAATTCCACTGTGAAACTCATATTTCGGAACACCGGATCATTCTTCGGCATCCATGTCTCTTCATCTCCCGTCGATTTAACATATTCCGAAATCTCAGTCGCATCAGGAACCGTAAGTTCCCAAAACCCTAACCCCCCATATTTCTCATCACTATTGAATATCAACCAATTCTCGGAGTTTGCAGGTTAAAAAGTTCTATCAGTCGCGGAAGAGTCAGAGATCTCTCACCATCCATGTGATCGGCACCAGAGTCCCACTGTACGGAAGCGGAGCAAGTCTGAGCAGCTCCACCGGAACTTCGGCGACCCCAGTGCCATTGAAACTGAGTTTCGTGATCAGATCCAGAGCCTATGTGTTGGGCCAATTAGTGAAGCCTAAATTCTACAGACACATCGATTGCCCCATAATTTTCGATCCTAAGAAACTCAATGTCCCCATGTCGCTCAAGAATTGCACAGTCAGTTGAAAACGAATCGAAATCCACAAAATATGTTCAGCGTTTATTAAAATCAGTACTTGCCATTTTTTTGTTAGTTCTTGAGGGTGTCTAGGAGTAGCGGACTGCGAGCGCTCGAAAGAGGAAAAAGGGACGGAAACGGGGCTTCAGCTGGCTGCCCGTTTGCCCGAGTAGTGCAGTACAGGTTGGTTTCCGGGCAGCGACACGTGAATAGACTTGGGCTTCACTATTTATTTATTACCATTTTTTGTGGCTTCAAATGATCTCATTCTTTTAATTACGGTGTGAGTGTCCGATAATGATAATATAAGATGTAAAAATAATTTCCAATTTACATTTGTGTTGCTCCATGCTCGTAGTATTATTGTTTTTAATAATGAGAATGTTAGAAAGTGATTTTAGCCCAAATATAAAAAATGATGTGAAGCACATGGGAAGTAAACCAAAGAATGGAAATTTAGCAGTAACGTGTGCAACAGAGTCTAGATTACATTGAAATCTAACGCTAAGAGTTTAGTGTATATATATCTCTTTAGAAGTAGTAGAATTCAAACCATTTTCATGCATTCTTGGAAGGTTGTCTAGTCTGGTCTGAACTCTGAACTTTGTTTCCTGCGTCCTTTTGGGCCTTTTCAACTGAATCAACAGAGAAACTCCACCATTTTTGGGGAAAGACCAAACTGGGCCACTTTAATATAGATGAGCCAAGGGTACACAAATTGAGCCCATTTGCACTAAAAGCAAATGGATCTAGCCCACACCAAACTCAAGGATCATAAGCACAAGAACCACAGAAAGATAATAATTAATTAGGCCCAATCTATCATCATATAATAATACTACATTACAGATAACAACAATAATAACACAATGTGGATCTAACTTCAAAGCTCCCTATCTTGATTATTGAAAGAGAGAAAATCATGAAGACGGTGAGAAGTTGGTGATTGGGTTTTGAATTTGCAGAAAAGTGAAAGAGGGAGAGAGAGGGATTAGTGAAGTTTTGCTTCCGTTAATGATGGGGTTAGAAAGTGAAAGTGAAAACGGTAGTGTGATGATTATAAACTACGTATAATTAGTGATATTAATTATTGAATCCTCCACTAAGAGTTGGAGCAGCGCAAGCCCCAACAGCCCATACAAGTCGCGTCCTACTCATGCCTCTTTGCTTTTCCGCTATCCATCTGTGTGTGTTGATGTGTTTAAAGAGAGGGATAGGGAAAGAAGGAAAAAAAAAGTATTATTATATTTGATCCATATCTGTAGTGGACAGACTGAAATTCCATTAAGGAATAAGGAGTGGGACTTTCCTTCACTTCAATCATCGATCCAACACTCCTTATTCCCTATAAAGCTGCATCTCTCCTTTCATTTCCTATCCCTTTATTACTTTTCTTTTCTTTTCTTTTTTTCCTTCGCTCTTTCTCTTTGTGGGCTCTCTCTTCTTCACCTTTCTTCCACTTTGTATCTATTTGTTTTCCTCATGCATTTTATGAATCATTCATCTCTTTCAAATCCACAATATCCAAATATCCCAATCTCACTTTCCTTCTTTACTCATTTCTCCTTTTCTACCCCCCTCCTCCCACACACACTACACACAAAAAGACAAAAAAACAAAAGAAACCATGAGTAAACATTCAACAGTCTGATTCTTACTGCGATGCGGGAAGTGATGGGTGAAAAATATGTGTGTATTTTTGGTGGATCGTGAAAACAGCTTAGAGTTTCTTTTCTTTAATTAAAGCCAACATCAGAAAAAAGCGGCAGCATTGTAAGTCTTGGTTCCACTTTTGGCAACAGTAGACGTGATGCTAAAAAGGGAAGGGTGAAAAACAAGTCTCATTTCAAGTTTCTTCTCCTGTATTCCTTCTCACTTTCAGACACACCATCTAATTTCTTCTTTACTATCACTTTCATCAACCTTCATTACATTGTATGTGGGATTTTAAAAAAAGTCCCATAAGATGGAAATCCAGAGATGTATATGTAATATAAGATTTACAGCAAAAACAGAGGTGAAGGGAAAGTCGTTACTCCATAAAGGGGACCGGGAAATTCTACGCTTTAGCTGAACCATCTGCATCTGATGACTCAACATGCAATGCCTTTTGTGGTTGACGTGATTGAGCAGCCAAAAGGGTTTTTGTTTTTGTTAGTGGATAATTAGGTGGTGGGTTGTTAAACCAAAAAAACATATATGATTGCAAAGACATTCACACCGTCATTGATCTCACACCAAAAGGAAAGGTGTATGAGGAATAGGGGAATGGGTCACATTGCGAATCCATGAAATGATTCTTGGATGATTCTATGACCAACAAGAGGCTTAAGGGTGGTTCCATGAGTTGAGGTTAAGTTTGGTAGAATATTTTTGTAAATGGAGAGTGCCATAATGGACAATGATTTAGGGCAAAAAAGTGAGAAAAGATTGAAACTTTAAGCATGAGATGATGTGATGATCAGGATGGGAAATGGAGGGACCCACATGAATACATTAGGGTTTGATATGGATGGCCTGATCACTCACTCTGAATCCCTTGGATTGGGGGGTGGGGGGGAGAGGGCTACATCATGTATTAGGGCAAAGCCCAAATGGGACCCTCCCTTTTGAAATATACTCTTTTCTTTTAACGTTCATTAGCTAAGCCACAGTATAAAAAGAAGAGAAGAGGAAGACGGGGGGGAAGAAAAGGGATGTGATATCCATGTGATCTAACAGCCTTAATGTTCCCCTCTTTCATCCACATTCTAAAACATCTTTTCCTTTCCTTTTCTTCTTAATCTTTGATCATATTTGAATAATCAACCCACATGTGTGTTCATATTTTGTAGTAAAGAAAAGAGCATTTGCTAGGCCCCCATTCATTTTGCACGTCTGGGGTCGCCCCTTGCCTGCTCATTTCACCAATTAAAAGTATATCATTAGTGGAATTCCGTGGCCCAATATCACATCAACTTGTCGGACAGATGCTAAACCTTCATCTTATCTTTGTGCTTTCTAAACCTCTTAGACAATACAATACATACATATGTTACTGTTGGAACATGTACACCGTTTGATTGCACCCAACAACAACAAAAACAACAACAACAAGCACATTACTACGGTAGTTGATTGGAGAGAATGAGTATTGTTGAGTGTGTAGTAAATGCAGGAGCTCGTTTTTTGAGAAAGATGTGTGATGGGGTGGAAGGAAAAAGACTTGATTTCATGTTCAAGTGATGTCCTACAATAGGTTCTAATGCTCACGGAATGAAATGAAGAAGAAGAAAATGGCTTTCTTTCTTTCTTTCTTTCTTTCTTTCTTTTTTCTTTCTTTTTTTACATTGTAGAGCTTGTGGTTGGTGTGTTGCTTCTTTAGTAAAGAAAAGAGAGGAACAAAATAATGAGGAAAAGGAAAGACATGAGACATTTGTTGTATTTTCTCTCCTTTTGATGACACTCTTTGTAAAGTCACCTAAAATTAGCTTTACTTGTTGATAAGAAACCATTGGTCATTTGGAACCCATTTCTTTTTTATTATCCTAATTTCTTTTCATCAATTAGCTCTTTTGGTGGAGCTTTGTTTCCTCCTTTTAATGTCTTTTGTTGGAGAAAATCAACTTTTGCATGGGAATGAAATTAACATATATATATTTATAGTAACCCTTTTTCTTTTCTTTTAACAACAATTTAGATGATGATGTATAGGACGTGCAATTAGCAAGCATTATTAAATAAGATACCAAATCTTTTCGTGTACATAAAAGGATGTTGATATCATGTTTATCTCCAAAAAGACTAAATTTTTTATGTTTATTCCTTGAAATTTTCAAAATGTTCCTTACCCTTTACTTTGGTCATAGAGATTAGATGTTAAAATGTGCAATACTCTTATTACATGGAAGATTCCATAGATAGAAAGCGTAGGGGGGATGTGTTGTTGAATCCATTAGGCATTAATTAGGGAGTGATTTCTTCGTGGGATATCCATATACCCCTCGTGACCCATTAAATATACACTCATTTCTCCCTTATTCACTTTCTGACACCCTTCTTTCTTTCTTTAATTATCAAATACATCCACTAAATCTTTCTTTCTTTCTTTCTTTCTTTCTTTCTTTCCCCATAGTAATCGATTGAAAAACCTTGAAACTTTGTTCAATTCTTTACACCAACTATTTCCAATGAACAAAATAACCTTTTCTCTTTTCCTAATAAATGCTCTAAAAGGGTTTGTGGGGGGCGAAAAAATAGTGACTTGGAGTGCACCATTTGATTAAAAGACGTAACTTTCTCCCATGCTTTGATTAAAGTGATCACATAGCATAAATAAATAAAAAATAAAAAAATGGAGATTATTAAAACTTTGATATATAATAATGGTATTTGGAGAGAGTATGCATAGTAGAGTATTGGATGTAAAGAGACAAAACAGAGTGGGAACAAGAAGAGACAGAGAAGGGAAGGTTGTAGGGCTTATTGTACTAAAAAATTGCAGAAATGAATTTTGTTTTGGTGTTTCACTTAGCAGAGAGAGAGAGAGAGAGAGAGAGAGAAAAAGGCGTATGAATGCATGCAATAAAACAAATGGTAGAGAAATACGTGTAATAATGTTAGGAGTACACATAAAAAAGAAAAGAAAAGAAAAGAAAAGAAAAGAAAAGAAAAGAAAAGAAAAGAGATGGGGTTTTGGTATTTTTGTGGTTGGGTTTATAGATGAATATAAAATGGGTGAGGAAATGATGCAGAGAAGCGAGTGGGGAATGGGTTAAAGAAGTTGGAATAGAATCTTCCTGGGGTTGCAAGAAGAGAGAGAGGATTTTGGTGGCATATACTGCTGCTGCTGGTGGGCTCTCTCCCATCTCTGTGTCTCTTCACTTTTATTCATACATACACACATGAGTGTTGTTATGTGCTTTCCTTTCCTTTGGTTTTCTTGCTTACACTTTTCTCTTATGGACCCCTTCCCATCCTGTTTCTAGTGAACAACTCTGTCTTATATGCTTCTAACACAAATCCATCTCTTAACAAAAACCCTTTCAAAATCCTCCCAACCCAATCTAGACACTCACTCACCCAAGGCCCCACCCCAACTCATACATTGATTGGGGTTATGATTAATTATGTAACGTAGGATTTGGGTAATCCAATGCAGTGGGGATTGCCATGTTTACGTTAAAGGGGAAGAGATTAAGAAAAATAAATTATGGGTTATCATATTGATTTAAGAGAGTGTAAATTGTCATGTATGAGAGGGAAAACAAAGAAGACAAACTAAGAATCACGAGAATTGTATACAGAAGCAGAAGGAGGGTTATAAATTTTAAAAAGCATTGTCCTCATCCTCA